ATGGAAAGAGCCCAGAGACGCAGAACCTACCAGCTCACCTAGTCATCCAAAGATGCTACTTCAAGAACGAGTTGGAGAGTATTTAACCTGCTAGATTCAACTTAATGCCTAGATTTCCAAGTTACATCCACTTTGAGGATCTTCGTTTTAACAAAGATCACAAGACTGTTCACCTCTCATTTCCGCTAGCCAGCCACTGCTCCACCCGTCTCGTTCCCCTCAGATGCCTGGACCCCCATCACTATGCCAAGCACATGGTGTCCCTCAGCAGAAGTTTGTTCAATGGATAGATACATGAATATAAGTAACTCCAGGGGTAAGCTTGCTTCATACACCACTGCCGAATTGCCTCATACACCTTTCTTAAGCACATCCAAGAAAGAAAACTTTATAATAGCATTTTCTGAAATCCATTCATTTTGCTGACCGAAGTTACATGTCACAAAGGGTTCTATGAAAAAAATAAGTGTTGAGATAGGTAAGTTAACCAGGTTTCTTTATTATGGGACTTCTTAGAATCTTTAATAAGTTCATGTGCATTTTCAATCTCCATGGGAGGAAAAGAGTATGAAGTGTTTCTCAAACATGTTTGATCACAGTAATCTTTCTGCATCTCATACTGCCATCCAAATAGCCATCCCCACCTGCCCCTGCCCTTTCTTGTTAACAGAACTCTGATTTTGTTTGGGCAGCAATGTTGCCGGCCCCAGAGGATGAATCATGATCAGTTCTATGGCAATCCTGACAAGCCTGCCCCTTTGCTAAGTTCTCACTTTCCTGATCTCCATTCTAGAAAAGAGTGGCCATGACCATGTGATCCACTGCTGGCCAAAGAGCCCCAGGGGAAGTCAGGGTGGAGGATTTGGGTAGTTTTCCTCCCTGATCAAAGGATTTCTGAACTTTTCTAGCTGCCTGCTCTCCCACTGCCTGCGATGCTGGTGTAGGATGATGGCATATGGAGCTGTGACTCTGGCGGTTTTAAAACGTGGCACAAATTCTTCAATCTCCTCATTGAGAGGTGGTATCTCTGTACTGCTCTCTTGAATCTGGCGGGCTTGTGACTGCTTCGACAACAGAGTACGATACAAGCAATGGGCTGTATGACCTGCACAGCTACAATGCTTGTCTTGGAGCCCTAAGCCTCCTCCACCAAACCGATGACCTGAGCTGGTCATGCTGAGGAGCCCGTGCCACAGAAAGAGGTCAAGTACAGGTGCTCCTTTGACTCACCCTACTTCAGGCACCAGATGCTTGAATTAAGAAGTCTCTGAGGGGCTTCCCTGGTGGTGCAGTGGTTGAGAGTCCGCCTGCCGATGCAGGGGACGCGGGTTCGTGCCCCGGCCCGGGAGGATCCCACGTGCCGCAGAGTGGCTGGGCTCGTGAGCCATGGCCACTGAGCCTGCGCGTCCGGGGCCTGTGCTCCACAACGGAAGAGACCACAACAGTGAGAGGCCCGCGTACCGCAAAAAAAAAAAAAAAAAAAGAAGAAGTGTCTGAGATTCCAGGGACTTCCCTGGTGGTCCAGTGGCTAAGACTCTGTGCTCCCAGTGCAGGGGGCCCGGGTGCGATCCCTGGTCAGGGAACTAGATCCCACATGCCACAACCAAAAGTTGGCATGTTGCAACTAAGGGTCTGCAACCTGCAACTAAAAGATCCCACGTGCTGCAACTAAGACCCGGCACAGCCAAACAAATAAATAGATAAACAAATATTAAAAAAAAAAAAAAAGTCTCTGAGATTCCAGACTGGTTACTCAAGGCCCCAGAAACTGTGTAGCAAAAATAACCCACCTCCGGGAGCTCCCTGGTGGTCTGGTGGTTAAGAGATTCAGCACTTTCACTGCTGGGGCCCGTGTTCAGTCTCTGGATGGGGAACTGAGAGATCCCACAAGTCGCGAGGGCACAGCCCCCGCCCTCCCCCCCCCCCACAAAAAAAAACCCACCTTCACTGGGCCCTGTCTGAATCCCTAATCCACAGAAGCCATCAGAATTACAAAGTGGTCGCTTCACCCCACTAACTGGTAAGGTGGTTTGTTACACAGCAGGCCGACTCCATCTCTCAATCTTGCCCTCTCAGGCAGGTTCTGTTTCCTCTAAAACTCTGCACTCTCTGCCGACTGAACAAAGAGACCAAGGAAAATAGAGACAACTGCAAATTAGACAAAAAAATCGAAGGTTTATCATTTACTAGACCCTGGCTTTTTAACAGCCAAGGAGGCCTAAACACCCCAGGGTCAACTCTTTTCTATAATAACCGGGAGGCTGGAGAAACCACTTGAGTTTTACGGGGCAAAGCACATTTTGAAAACATCCTGATCTTGCGACTTCATCTGTACCTTGCAAATGCCTCTCTCACCAAGCTGTGATTCACACCATCAGTCCTCAGCAAATAACCAGGGGTGACCTACCTGCTGAAAGCAGTCCAAAGGGTACCTTTTATCACAAGAGTGCATCCCCAAGAAATCTACACAGCTATCAATGTATCCTGCAGGAGGTACTGGGTGTATTCCTTAGACACATATAGAGGGAAACCTTTTCATTTCCCCAAATCCCTATTATCTGGAATGCACTTTAACCCACCTTCAAGGATATTTCCAGACCACATTCTCTAAAGTAAAGTTTGTGGTCTATTTATTCACAAATACACTGGGGAACCGAATGCTGATGAGAACTAAAATTTACTGAAGACATACTTACTGGAGGTCAGGCACCGTGCGGGTACCTCCGTATACTTTCTCATTTTATGTTTATAACAACCAGCAGGTAATACCGCTCGGCCTGTTTTAGAGGAAACTGGGGTTTAGAGCAGCTAAACCACTTTTCCAAAGCTATACCATTGTAATGGGCAGAGCTGAAATTTAGACCGGGATCCGTGGGGAGCCAGAGCCTGCACAACCTCTTTCCATGACGGGCTCCCTCCTGCCTCTGCCCCACGTCAACACTGATCCTCCCTGTGCTCTATCTACATGAGTCCAGAGGCAGGTAACATTTCCCTAAGTCCTCTCTAAGCACTTTCTGAGTGCTGGCTCCTTTCATCCCCAACAGATCTGTCTGGTGAACATTTTCCTCCCCATTTCACAGGTAAACCCACAGAGACTTAGAGAAAAGTTAAGGCGTGTGCCCAAGATCACACAGTTAGTGGCAGGTAGGGAACTATGTCCAAAAAGTCATGCTCTTTCCACCCCACCACGCGGTCCCCTTCTCCACCCTAAATATGATAGGGCTTTTTTATTTCCCAAATGATAGAAAAGCATTTAACTAAGAGAAAGCAATAAGAAAAGCAACAGCCCTCGAGACCTTGTTAAGTCGCCCCAAATAACTACCATCCATCTGGCGCGGTTCTGTTCAGATGATGCTTTCCAGATGTACAATCTTCATGTGATCTCATGTGATCCTCACAACAGCCTTGAAAGGTTAAGTACTGCCATTCCCAGTTTCCAGAGCAGGAATCAAAACCCAGCCGGGTTAAGGAACCTGACCAAGGTTAACTGCTATTAAAGGCCTGAGGATAGACTCTGACCAGGTCTTGGAGGCCAAGGCCCACCATCTTCCCACCTCACAAGGAGGACTGCCTCTCAGGGCCCCTCTTACGGGTTCAGAAAAGAGGTAGGACACCGTTAATGGAGAAGAATCCTTATCCTAGGAAAGAAGTGAATGTAACTGGTTCTCTAAGGCAAGATCAGAGGAATGAGCGACAATGATGTCATGCATCTCCTTAAGTCCACCCCCAGCACTGAACAGAAAGACCTCTTCCTTCCACAGTCCACACCTAGAACAATACTGGACTCACAAAACTCAAGCATTGTTTGATCTGACTATGACTCCTCCACCAAAGAGATGGACCCACCCATGGAGAGGGTGGGGATCTGTGCAGTATTCACAGCCAACTTCCCAATCAGGTCAGCACACACTCAAGTTCACTCTGAAACCTGCTTGTGACTCTCACAGATGAACTGGCATAAGCCATCACGTCCCGCTCCGCTCCACTTAGGAAAGAACTAGAGGGTGGCTTTTCCACACTCACAATCCGGATGACAGGAAGCACCCACACCTCCCCTGCAAGAAGAATATGACTCCCTTTATATATGCAATAAAAAGCCTAAATAAAGAAACCATAACATGGTGGCAGAAACTTCAGTGCCGGAACTTCTTGTGGCTTGGTTTGGTTTTATTGAAACACATGTACGTCAGATGCTACGTGGAATGTTTCAGAAACACTAACCCATTTAATCCTCCTAATAGCCCTATGGGGAATTACATTATCAATCCCAATGTACAGATAAGGAAACCAAGCCTGTTAAGGAAACGTTCACAAGATCAACAGCTGTCAGAAACAGGGCTGAGGTTTGAACCCACATTTCCCTGGCTTCAAAGGCTGTGTTTCTGTCCATGATACACAACGCCCCCCAACGCCCCACCCAAGCTTCCCATCACTGTCTACCACAGCACCTTCCAACAGGACCCTCTACATCAAAGACTATGTGAATCTGTACACACGGGACACCCATGTTTGCCTCTGTTGAATTTCGAAAAAAATAAACTGGTGGTTTCTTGGTTTCTCAGTTATCACCAGAGGAGTCAAAGGGATTGAATTTTTGGAAACAACAATTCTGATCTTCCTGAATCACAGGCCTAAAAATGCAATGAAATGCATTTTTTTCCCCCACACTTGTGGCTGGGCCCTCAGGGTTGGTTCTGTATTTAAACTATGTAATTCAGGCAAGAAAGGATATCATTAAAATGTTGTCATGTAGCGTAAGACCTTAAAAGCACCTCTTTAATATATATAATTTACCTTCTCCTGACTTTCTCGGTAAGATTAAAAATCCTCCCAAGTACTGAAGAAACTCTCCGTGTAACTTCTTGGTGTGTCCATTCCACCCCAGCAAAAGACTGACTTTCCTCTGCTACCCTTGAAAGATCTGGGGGGTTTTATTCTTTACTAAGGAAGTTGTGTTTCCTTATGTCCATTCAGAAAAAAAATACCGGAAGGGCACCTACCTCAGAAAAGAACTCGTCCATGAAAGCTGTGTTGTCAATAGCAATCTCGACCTCATCGGCATCGTCATCCTGTGTCAGCTGCTTCTGTGAGAGACAAAAAGGAGGGTGAGACCAAAAGCACCAGAAATAACAAACAGCACTGAATGCTCCCTAAAGACTGGGAGCTGTATCTGTAGTGAACATTTTACATACATAATCTCCTTTAAAACTCAGAACAGCTCTGTGATGTATCAAACTCTGATGTCACACTGTCTAAGTTTAAATCCTAGCTCCAAACTTACTGATACTTTACAGGGGGATGAGGGGAAGAAGGGAGCAAGTTACTAAACTGGCTGTGCCTAGGTTTCCTTATCTGTAAAGTGCTAATAAGAACACCACTTACGTCATAGGTTCGTTTACAAGATAAATGAGCTAATGAATATAAAACACTTTGGCACAGTGCCTGGCATACTGTAACTACTCAGTAAATATTATGTTTTGGTGGTGGTGGTATTGGTGATGTTACTATAACTCACTCCAGTTGGAGAACGTAAAACAGAGAGGTTAAGTAACTTGGCCGAAGTCACACAGCTAAAATGTTGGAGACAGGCAGATTCTAGCCCATCCTTTGGATTTGGACCATATGTTCCTAAACTCTTCTCCACAACGTTCAGAGGCATGACCTACTGTACCGGGGATCTGTATTAAGACAGTCCCAATTCCTCCAAAGCACTAGCTTCAAATCATCACAGAAGGAGCACACATTTTCCTGTTTTCAGAAACCACCTACTGCAAAGGAAACAGCGCTGTGTGCTGTTCCCTGTCAGAGCTCATGTTTATGGGGAAAAGGAAGCTCTCTCGGCAGCCCCCAGCAACCCCCGGGGACCCCGGCTTTCATAATCTCATTCAGCTACCTCTACAAAAGCACAAAATGGCTATGTAAAGGAAGTGCTTCCATTCCCACCCAGCTAAAGGGCCGCGGCGGCTTCTGCATCCTTCCCAGGTGCTCCTCCCAGACGACTGCTGCATTACACACAGCCCACCTCTAAGCAAGGAAGACCTGGTTGTTGGGAGTGGAGGTGGGGAGGGGGTGAACCCCTCGACACCTGCTTCTCCACACCCTTCAGTGGCCTTTGGCCTCCTTAGCCAAGACATGTCACTCTCAACATGGGAACTCCACTAGCAAGGAGAGCCACCAGGGGCCTCTTTCCTTCCCCTGCTACCATCCCCCAGACCTGCTACAGCAGATGGAGTTACTGGGAATTCCCACGGAAATTTGGGACTCTCCAGCCATCTGGGGAGCCTCTTCTGACCGGATCCTCTGTAATCTCATTCTCTGGCTTGTCTGCAACCATCAGCAACCCAAGCTTAATAGCCACATTCAAAGGAACTGAATTTGAGGACATTGCTACAGCCCCCAACAGTCCCCTTCCTAAAACTTAGGACTGATCCCATCCTTTTGCCACTTAAAGCCGTTCAGTGATAGTTCTCAGGACTGAAAGTCCCAGGATTGCAAGTCCCAAAGCCTAACAGAGCATACGGGGCCCTTTAAGATCCAGTCCCGCCCACGTTTCTCCCTCTACGATGCATCTCTGGACCAGGCGCTTGGAAACTCCTAGCACTTCCTGGACACACCATTCTTTCATATTGCTGAACTGTCACACAAGGACTTCTTCCTAAAATGCATTTGTCCAGCTGGCAAAATTTTATTGAGCCTTTAAAACTCAATCTCGAACAAACTCCTCCCTGATCTGACACTCCCCGACCCCCCATGCAAACTTGAAAACCTCCCTGAGCTCCCAGTGCATTTTGTGCAAACCTTCCACAGCATCAATCCCAGCCCTCTATTAATTATCCCTTCACTTATCTATCCTTCCCCACCGACTGTAAACTCCTGGAGGGTCAGGGTTGCCTTATGTACCCACTGGAGAAGATACTTTGAGTGTGTGCCTGCCCAGAACACCTCCCTTTGTGAAGATAACCCCGACCTTCCCCACATGATTCTGGGAAGGTTATCAATCACCACCCAAGCTCCCTGAGGATTCTGAACTGTGAAGTGAACAGAGCCGAGTCAACCTATAGCAGCACCCAACAGAGATACCTGCTTGGTTCCCAGGGCTACCCTTGTTTCTGTCCTCCCTAACCCACCCCATGCCTTAGAGCTAGTTCTATAGATCTTCCCCAGTATTCTTTCAATGAGTCCAATAGTATTCTTGTAATGCTGTGTTTTGTTCATTTAACTGGTTTCTGTCACTTGTAATTAAAATTACTTGTACTTGGGAATTCTCTGGCGGTCCAGTGGTTAGGACTCTGCTCTTTCACTGCTGAGGGCCTGGGTTTGATCCCTGCTCGGGGAACTAGTATCCCACAAGCCATGGGGAGTGGCCCAAAAAAATAAATAAGTAAAATAAAATTACTTGTACTTGTCATTAATTAACTTATTCCGCATGTATACTGAGCACTTACTATACGCTATATGTGTAACGGAAACTTAATCAATTCTAGTTGAATAAATAACCCCTACCAGAGACCGGCAGCCTGGATCCACCCAGCAGTTTCTAAAGTGTGAGATAAAATGCTCCTTTTATCAACTATCATCAATACTTGGGCCTCTCAGCAGCCTCCAGAGAGCTCCATCTCCCAAAAAGGATCTCGGAGATCCTCACTAGAAAATAGGAACCTGGTCTCCCTCCAGGAAGGTGAGTTAACAAGCATTTGTTGAGTTTCCTCTCTTTGGAGGTCTTGTAGAGACCCCCACTGAGGGGATATATGCCATGTATGTGTGTGTATAGACACACATGAGGGTGTCAACTCAGTTTTCTTCAAATAGGTACACGTGCTATGGAAATGGGATGAGGCTGCCGTCGTGGGATGGACTAAGGGAAGGTTTTGGAAGCTGGGAACACGTGTGTCCTGAAGCATGGGACACAGGCCCCTAGCCCTCCATCATCACATGCACTTTTGAGACCCCTGGCATTTGTACAGGGATTCCCCACCCAAGATGGCCACATGTTGGCTTTGAACAGGCTCTAACAGGGCAGCCTGGGCCACCTCCAGTGAGAGGACATGTGAACTGGGAAAAAAGAAGTCTTGGGTCCCCCACAACCGAGGTCCAAAACCTGTTATTACCAATAACTGGCTGTGAGACCTCTGTCAAGTCCCTCGCTGACCTGAGTTTACCCGTAAATGGTAATAACACCATACACTCTATGACTTTTACGAGGCTTGGAAGAGTTCATACGTGGAAAGCTTCTAGCACAACACAGGGCACACAGCAGTGCCTAATAAGTGTCAGTTGCCCCATCACCTAGTTGTAAAGGCGTGATGTCTAAAGTGTGTGTTCTCCTCCGCGGAAAGCGCTCACACAAAGGCTTAGTCGAGAAGATCGATTCTGCAGCATCAGGACCACCAGGGTTCTATAACTGGCTTCCCTTCATGCTAGTCATTGAGCCTTAAATACTAGGCTCAACATCTCTGAGCTTCAATTTCCTTACCTACAAAACAGGAACAAAAGTGTCCACCAGGGCTTTTGTGAGGATTAAGTAAGATAATAATTTTAAGTTCCTTACACAACGAATAGCACATGATAACATCTCAATAAAACAACCGTACATAAGATCCAGCAAAGTCATCTTCTCTACAGCTTTAATCTGGATCGAAGTACCCGTAAACAGGAAAGAAAAATAAAAAACGATATAGAACTTTTAGAGCTGAATGCAACCCTACATATTTCGATCATCAAATTCTCTCACTTAAGAGATGGGTAAACCAAGGCCCAAGACCAAATAATGAGCTACTGGAGCAGCCAGGAATAGAACCCAGGTTTCTTGATTCCCATCTTCCTGTGCAGAGTTTTTCCCACCGTAGCGTGCTGCCTCCAAAATATAAAATAGCGATGGCAACGAAAGCAACAGAGCTTAGTCCAGATCAGAAAATTCCAGAAAGAGGCCATCATCCCAGGTGATCTGAGTCGCGTGACGCTGGACCCAGGCTTCTCCGGAAGGGGATCTACCAGATCGCAGGGCAAGGGTCCTTCCCCTCTGACACATCCGTGCTCTTACAGACCGAGAGGCCTCAGGGACCCCAAGGGCAAGGAAAGCACATGGTGCACTTTATCTTCAGCCCACATGACTGGGCACAGCCAAGAAGAGAACTTCGGCATCTTTATCAAAGCATCAAGGCATGTGATAATAGGACTGTCAGAGTAGCTGCAACACCAGCTGCAGTAAAAAAACGTACATGAGAACCACAAGCCCCACCACCCGCTTCCTCTCCCCCGACCTCCTGCTGCCTCTCCTGCCAAGACATGGGAGATACCACCAATGACTCAGGCAGCACTGAGCTCGAATCTGGGCTCCATCCCCCGCCCCCCACCCCTCAATGCACCCCAAAACTCAGTGAGGACAGGCAGGGCTATGACTCTCTCTCTGGGCACAGTGGAAAGAGTTCAGGGGCCCAGGACTCAACCTGCAATTCCTCTCACTCAACCTCACTGCCCTTCTCTCAAGGGCCTTCTCTGTCATCCTCAGTCTGTTCGACTGTGGGTCCCTCTTCATCAGCTCCTTTAATAAAAACAGTTACCACCTGCAGAGCCCCTAGGAGGTGCTAGGTGGCCGCCACACTCTGGCTGCTTCAGGTACGCTGTGTCAATGAACCCCTCCTAAATTCTGTCATTGAGAACCTGCAGGGCAGAGAAGTTCTCATTTATTCATGGCCTCCCAGCTACTGATGTGCAGAGTCGGGGCTCACGCTTTGGTTGTTGGTTCTGAGCCCTTGTTAATTCCACTGCACCCCACTCACAGCAGCCCAGCCCTGCAGAAAGTGGGGCTGAGAGAAAGGCGCTGGGGGCCTTGGGGACAGCACTTGTCTCCACTAAGCCTTGGTTCTCTCACCAAGTAAGGAGCTTAGCTTTCCAATGAGGCTTTGTGGAACCCCAGGAGACCTCCAGGGTGCCTCAGAAGCCACGCCGGGAGGGACTTGCCTGGTGGCACAGTAGTTAAGAATCTGCCTGCCAATGGAGGGGACACAGGTTTGAGCCCTGGTCCGGCAAGATCCCACATGCTGTGGCGCAACTAAGCCGTGTGCCACAACTACTGAGCCTGCAC